AACTTTCTATGAAATTGTGACTTCACCAGAAAAAATCCCTTATGGAAAGAAGCTATTAAAAGTGAAATTAACTTCGTCTTACAGAACTATACTTGGGAGTTGGTTAATCTCCCCCCAGGCAGTAAGGCCTTAGGGAGTAAGTAGATCTTTAGAAGAAAGATAAAGGTTGATGGGTCAATTGATAAATATAAAGTTAAGCTAATTATCAAAGGATACAGACAGCGAGAAGGCCTAGATTATTTTGATACGTATTCACATGTGACAACAGTAACAATGAAAGCAGAGGAGAAGTGAAAATTGAGAACCAAGAACTGCTTAAGACTGAACATTTTCATTATTTAGGGTCGATTATCACAACAGCTGGAGAGATTGATGCAAATGTGGCCCATAGGATTAAGGTGGGATGGTGTAAGTGGAGAAGTGCGTCTGGGGTATTGTGCGATAAACGAATACCCACTAGACTAAAAGGTAAGTTTTATAGAACGGCTATTAGACCAGCTATGTTGTATGGGACGGAGTGTTGGGCAACCAAGAAACAACATGTAGATAAGATGAGTGTGGCTGAGATGAAGATGCTAAGGTGGATGCGTGGTAAGACTAGACAAGACAGGATTATGAATGAGTGTATTCGGGAGTGGGTAGGAGTAGCACTGATAGAAGATAAGTTGAGAAAGAATCGTTTGAGGTGGTTTGGTCATATTCAACTGAGACCAATAGAGGCAGTAGTGAAGAGATGCGATTCTGTAACGGTAGATGGAAGTGTTAGGGGACGGGGTAGGCCTAGATTAACGTTGACTAGCGTTATAAATAGAGATATAAATTAACTTAATTTCACTAATGAAATGGCCTTTGATAGGGCCGCGTGGAGAAGAAGGATTCATGTAGCCGACCCCATTTGATGGGACTTAAGGCTTGGTTTGGTTCACATGTGACAAGGATTATATCCATTCGCATGGTGATTGTGATAGCCGATTTACGTGGTCTAGAGATACGTTAGATGGATGTAAAGACATCTTTCTTAAATGGAGATTTAGATGAAGACATCTATATGGAATAACCTGAGGGGTTTTCAGCTCTAAGGAAAAATCAGAAAGTCTATAAGCTTGTCAAATCATTATATGGTTTGAAATAAGTGCCTAAGCAATGGCATGAGAAGTTTGACAACGTTATGTTGTCAAATGGGTTTAGAATCAATGAGTGTGACAAGTGCGTATATGTTAAAGACACTGACAGAGGTTATGTCATTTTGTGTCTATACGTAGACGACATACTCATTGTTGGTAGTAATGATGAAATGGTTCGAACTACTAAGAGATTGTTAGACTCTAAGTTTGACATGAAAAATATGGCCTTGCAGATGTCATTTTAGGTATTAAGATTACCAGAACATTTAGTGGTATTGTACTTTCTCAGTCTCACTATGTTGAGAAGATACTTGAGAAATTTGGTAAATCAGATACAAGTGTGTCTAGGACACTGGTAGACTTAAGTTTACATTTGACCAAGAATAATGGTGAGAGTGTCTTTCAGCTAGAATATTCTCGGGTCATTAGAAGTTTGATGTATCTGATGAGTTGTACAAGGTCGGATATAACCTACCTTGTTAGTAGGCTTAGTAGATACACGAGTAATCCAAATCCCACCATTGGAGAGGCATTATGCGGGTGTTAGGTTATCTACGCTACACCCGGGAATATGGACTACATTATACCAGATACCTAGGGTACTAGAAGGGTATAATGATACTGATTGGATATTTGATATAAAGGACTCCAAATTCACTAGTGGTTATGTGTTTACCTTGGAGGTGCAGCCGTGTCTTGGAAATATTCTAAGTAAATGTGTATATACAGATCAACGAGGGAATCTGAGTTTATAACTTTGGATAAAGCAACTGAAGAAGCTAAATGGTTTCACCAATTCGTTGAGGATATTTTACATTGGTCGAAACTTGTGCCTGCTATCTGTATTCATTGTGATAGCTAATCGACGATTGGACGGGCACAGAGTCAAATGCATAATGGAAAGTCTAGACATATCCTTCGTAGACATAATTCTATACGATAACTACTCTCTAATGGAGTTATCTCTCTAGACTATGTAAAGTTTAAGGACAATATTGCGGATCCGCTAACCAAAGGGTTAACTCAAGAGTTAGTAGAAATGTCGTCAAGAGGAATGGGATTAAGGCCTTTAGTAATGTTACCGAAACGGAAAACCCAACTTAGTTGACTGGAGATCCCAAGATCTAGGTTCAAAGGGACAACCGAATTTCGTATAACAGGTAAGTCATTGAAGAGGTAAATCCTCTTGCACATTCTTTTGTACAGTGATACCCGGTGGGGGTGGAAGGTTAAGCTAATGCTTTTAATGACCTAAGTGATATGAATAGTCAACCGTGGTATAACGCGATACCTTATATAGGTCACCTATGTGAGTGCAAAGTAGGGTCGCTTCTTTAAGAATTGGGAAGACCGAATTCTTTATAATTACTCACTGAACCAGGCTAGTGTTTTAGGGCCATACCGGACACACCAGTGAGAACAAGAACAATGGTTAGACTAACTCATATGTGAGGTCTATTGTCTCTATTTACATAAACAACAGAACAGTTCAAGACATCACGTTCACTAGTCAGTTAGTAAATCCGATAGACTTTCACTACGAAAGGTTCAAGGCCAACAGCTACCTTTTCTAGTGCAGGGTTAGTCTGTGTGCTCTCTCTTTGAGTCTTTGTTGTAAATGTTGTCCGTTTTCTTTATTCGGTCAATTTTTATTCATGTGAGGGATTGTTGGAAAAAATAATTTTTTGGTGTCTTTAATGTGAAATTAAAGTAGGTCTTAATCATTGGTTGATATGGGATTAAATGGGTTTAGATTCTTTGTAGCAAGGTCTTTACACCACAAAAAGAATGACAAAAAATCATTAAGAATTGAATGAGAAATTGCCTTATAAAGTTAGCCTCATAAATGAGGTATTGAGAATTGTGTATAATTACCAATCCTACATTGATTGTAAAGGAAAGTTTTGATGGGTATTTAAACCTCAAGATTATGAGAAGGGCATGAGCCCTTTGGGGAATCTAAATTTTCCAAAAGAAGGGAGGCATGGATGCTTCAAGGATGGGATTGAGCCAAAATATGGTCCAAGTTGATTATGGCAAAATTGCCATGGGCGCGCGCGCGCCGCCGCCCGAACTGGACCGAATCCGTGATCTATGGGCTGTGGATCGTAGATCTTGGATCTTGGGACTTGGGCTTAGGTTTGAGGGAATGGGTTAGGTTTGGGTTGGGCCGGATTAATGGTCCACCAACCTATTTTTTTTGGGCTAGGTCTGTTCCAAGCCCAAGTCTATTGCAGAAATATATATACACATATGTGTATATTGTGTGTAACTCACACTTTGAATTCTCATCAGTTTTGTGCATTACTCCAGCAATTTTGCAGGAGCAATGGCCTGCATTAGTGGCCAGCCATGATGGCTGGAGGCTCTTCCTCTCTCCCTCCATTGTGTATAAGAGGAGACCCATCTCCCTTGGTTTGGTACATAATTTTTTGCCTTCCAATCATATAGTTAGTTTGCTTACTATTACAATATACTATTACAATATTCTTCCTGTGTGAGAGAGAGTGCTGCCCTTGTCAGTTCGCCAAGCTAACATAAGGTGTTTCTGCATTAGCTCGTCTAAACCATCTTATCTTGGGAGATAGAAGTTGACGTTCCTCTAACATCCACGGTGAGGCGGCTAATCTGTTTTAAGGACACTGTCGTATCACACAGAATTTGATTTGATTTTTTGTTTTCAATATTTCAATTTAATATGTATTTCTGTTAATTATGTTTCATGTTTCATACTCTAGAATATAAATTTATCAAATACGATTTTATTTGATATTCTATTATTTAATTTAATAAATCATGAATCTATTAATCTTGTTTAATTACACAATTGTACAATAGAAAGCAATTTGAGAAGCTAAATCCGACAATGCTGAAAGCTCGAAGCAGTCAATTCTGGACTGGAAGAGTGAGAACTTAAAATCTAGGAAGAAGGGCTCTAGAATATGGGTTTTCAGCCTCGGTGTTGAAAATGAAACTAGGAAATGCTGTAGTGATGTCCCTGAAGGATGATGAAATTATATGGCAAGCAAGAGTAGTAATGGTGCATTCTGTCAAATAAATCATGAAACAAACCCCAAGGCTCCATAAGAGTTGAGCCTGAGATTTAAAGGAATCATATCCTTAGTTTTCAAGTTGGTCCGAATACACGATTATCAAAAAAAAATAAAAAATAAATAAAATTGATGGAATAAGATATAATGTAGTTGAAATTATGGCGAAAATTTTGGTTCTAATTATAAAATTATAGTGCAAAATAGATATAACATGGTTGACATTTTTTTCTTCTCTCTAAGGGGGCAAAAATTATGGTTGACATCTTTGTTCTCAACGCCCCCTAATTATTAGGATTCATTTTAACCGTCTTTAATGATTATATGGGTATATTTAAAATACAAATTAGAAAGATGTTTATTGGCTTTACGTGATTTAGGATTGTTTTGACAACTAATTATTTTAGTTGATTTTTGATTTTATTATAGAAAATATAAAAAAAATAGAGAGAATAGTCGAATTTTTAGTAGTGATTTTTTTTTTCCCCTTTTGACTATTTTTTATACTAAATTAAAAGTTGACACAATCTACAATGTTATTATGAGTGAATTGTAAGACACAAAGAGAGATGAGTATAATTATGTTAAGTTTATGAAATTTATTATATTTTTTTAAAAATTCAAGGGTTATTAATATAATTAGCCCAAAAAATTGTAAATATTACCATTTTACGCTTGTTATTATTAGTATTTTTCATATTCTTAGGTAGAGTTCATAACTTTAAAAGGCCCAAAAGACCCAAAAAAATATTTGGGCCGGGCCTAATATTTTCAACAGTGCTGGGCCCTCTATAAAGGTTCCGAGTTTAAACCACTCACTCAGCCCGAGTCAGCCTCGACCCTCCGCGTTCTCTCTCTCCCTCTCTCTCTCTCTCTATCTTTATTTTTATCTTCTACGCCATTAAGCTTTCTCCATCTCTCTCTCTATATGTCGACCATGGCTTCTTCATCCACCGGCGTTTCGTCTTCCACTGACTCCGAAACTCTCCGGCGAAACCGAATTCTGTCGAGCAAGCTCTATTTCGATGTGCCTCTCTCTAAGGTAACCTCCCTCATCACCTCACTAATCTCAATTTGTTATCATCGAAAAACTTGGATTATTCTGATTTGAACTCTGATTCTCTTGTATCAGCTTCCTCTTATCTACTCGCCTTCCTACAATATCCAGTTTCTTGGCATTGAGAAGCTGTAACAAACCTAAAACCCTCTCTCTCTCTCTCTCTCTCTCTCTCTCTTATCTGTACAGCTTAGGTTAAGTCAGTAGTGAAAGATGAAATTTGGTAATAATTGTGACAGGTATTTGGATGAAATTGTAATTTATAGCAATTAATAACTAAAAAGGAAATGGTTGAATTGAATAGCAATTTTGAAAATTTTTGGAGTTGATTAAAATATTAAAAACTCTTGTGAGCAGAATTTATGCACTTGTTTGGAATTTTGAATATCTTGGTATTTCATACGAACTTCTTGAATAATTTGCTGGGAATCGAAGCGGGGATTTTAAACATGCTGTCGTATTAAAAACATACTATCAGGATTGATAATGAAGCTGTGCTATCACTTAAAACATGTGATGTTGAATTTGAAATGAGTATTGATGCATGGATTACTGTGACTTACTTCTTCTCATTCACTGTGCATGTTTCATCAGTTGCAACGCATCAAACGGTTGGTTTTCCAATCCCTTTGCTTTGAAATTTTTGTGCTCTTATGCGAAGAACTAACGATGTGTTTGGTTCATAGATTTGGGTAGGGATTTAAAAATAGAAAGGGAGAAGGGGAAAGAGAAAAGGTAGATGAAATGTGAAAAAAATATAGAATAATGCTAGAGACCCCCAATATTCTACCAAAGTTTCTACCAAATGTCTCACATGGTTGTGAGACCCACACAATGTGGCTCTTATATGGGTCACATATTCATGTGAGACATTTGGTAAAATTTTTGGAGTCTCTAGCATTTTTGAAACATATAATTATATCTCGCACATATTTTTTCTTTTCCTTTCCAAATCCACGAAGCAAATACAACCTAAAGGTTTTATTAAACTAATGCTATGTTTGGTTGGGAGATTTGAGGAGAGATTTGAAAAGGGAAATGGAAAAGATAAGTGAAATGTGAAAAAATATACCTACATTTCACCTAATTTTACACACCTTTTCCCTTTTCCTTTCCAATTCCTTCTCCCAATCTCTCAACCGAACATAGCCCATGGGATTCACTTCTTCTAACTTGTTTCTGTTGGTGCAAATTTTATTAGTTGCTATGAAATGCCATAACATCAACTCATCTACTCATTGGTTTTGTCATTATTTGTTGAGGAGAGAGAGAGAGAGAGAGAGAGAGAGAGAGAGAGGATATTTTTTTGTCATTATTATTACTTCCAAAATTTATATTCTTATGGGGGAATTTTTTCCCTAAATTTACATTATTTTATGATCAATCTCATGTTTCTCATTTCACTAACATAATCATTGGTGGCGGTGCCATTGCAGTTGGGATCTCAATTGTGAGTTGGTTATTGATCTTAATGTTTACTTCAGTGTTATATTTTAATTAATGTAGGCATCCATTTGATTCTTCTAAATGGGGTCGCATCTGCCGGTTCCTCATCGTGGATGGTGTTCTGGACAAAAATCGTATAGTTGAGCCTCCAGAAGCTACAAAGGATGATCTCTTAGTGGTAGCTACTGCATTTCTTTTTTTTTCTTCTTTTCTTTTTTGTGACAAATAATGGCCACAGCATTTCTTTAGAACCCTTGCGCATTTATTTTTTTGGTATTTGCCCCATGTAGTACTTGAAGGATGCTACAATCTCAAATTTGATTTTTATGTGTTCAATATTATATGTTTATTTTAATCACCATACCATCTCTGTGTGTGTATTACACACTGAGCAAACATGGCGGAGTTAAATAGAAAGCAGACTCTCAAAGCGTATGCATTGCCGACATTAATTGCTCTAGAAGTCTTTTATTACATTTCTGTTGTAGTGCAATTTAGAAAGTTGCTTCATGTCTTTTATTACATTTATGTTGCAAACTGGCAATGTTAAGGTTCGCTGCACCTACATCCTGCGGTTTATGATACACATCTATATGTTGCCTTGCATGAAAAATTAGTAGTTCTGTTTTCACTTGATGCTTGTGTTCCCTCCCTCCCTCTCTCCCTCCCTCCCTCCCTCCTTTTCTTCTTAATTTCTTGAAAAGGAAGAATTGGGGAGACAATGTGTTCATAGTTCTTGATGTTAGCCAGACAACTAAGTTTATCTTTATGCCTAACAATTTTGATACTTGTGACAGGTGCATTCGGAATCATACTTGAATAGTCTAAAAAGCAGTGTCAATGTCTCCATTATAGTTGAGGTAGAGTTTCGACTACTATCCTCTATAAATCTTGTATGTAATGAGCATGTACTTCTTGTGAATTTTTACCTAATCTCACCTGCTTTTGCTGAATATACTGTTTTATTTATTTGTCAAGAATGTTATAAATGCTTGCTGGAGCTCTTAGTTCCAGGGCATATGTGAATGTTTGTTAACTTAAACAAACTCATTTTAAGCAGGTTCATGATATACATTTATGATAGTCCGGGAAACAATAAAGTAGCAAGTAATGAGCTGATGGTAGTGTACTGTTCATGCTTCTAAAGATTATTGACCACCCAATTTGATATGATGTTTAGGTCCCTCCTGTTGCACTATTGCCCAATTTTCTTGTGCAGCAGAAAGTTCTCCACCCCTTCCGCAAGCAGGTGAAAATTTTATTTCCATGATCTGTCTTTTTACTTTAGGGTTTGAATAACACTGACCACATTTTACCTTAGGTTGGAGGAAGCATATTGGCAGCAAAGCTTGCAAAAGAGAGAGGTTGGGCTATCAATGTTGGTGGTGGGTTCCATCACTGTTCGGGAGATAAGGGAGGGGGATTCTGTGTTTATGCAGACATATCTCTCTGTATTCAGTATGCATTTACCCGGTTAAATATTTCAAGGTACTGACACTTGTAGCTAATATTAAAATGTTAACGATTGTGCATTTATAACCTGGGAAATTGATATCTCAATCAGATCCATCAATTTTAAGCACCACTTTTTGTCCTCATTAACTGCAAACCATTTACAGGGTGATGATAATTGATCTTGATGCGCATCAAGGAAATGGCCATGAAAAAGATTTTTCTCGTGACAGTACGGTTTCTGACCTGTCATCATGGCAGTCTTATGTTATTTCATATGTTAATTGATTGCCTGTGGATACTGACAGGAAGAGTTTACATTCTGGATATTTACAATCCTGGAATTTATCCATTAGTAAGTTGTCTCCTTTTGAATCACAGAGTTTTCAACTTCAAGTGACCATCTGTGTGTGTGTGTCTTTTCTGTCCGTAATATGTGATTTGTTTATTCAGACAGTGGAACAGCCTCAAAATCTTAGTCTTAATAGGTATCAATTTCCTTATTGCTCTTGCTCATCTCATTTATTGCACTTCTTTTATATAGGATTATGAAGCAAGAAGATACATTAGTCAGAAGGTTGAAGTAGTGGTGAGCCATGTCATCTAAACTTAGATTCTCGTTATTTTTGTTCTTTACCTACCATGTTATGCTAATTGCATTATGTTCAACAGAGTGGGACTGAAACGGAAGAATACTTGACAAAATTAGATGAAGCACTCAAGGTATTCATTGATGACCATATGCCAGCCACTGAACCTTTTGCCTTTTCTGTTTCATTGATGCAACTATGTTGGAAATCGATTGAGGATGGGATAAATAGAAATGAAATTTTTTGGACGAGGCTGGTGATTTTTGATTGATTGTATTGTTGCATCTGCAATTTTCTGTCCAACATTTTGGTATCAGTTGATTAGCTTATTCAACCAAACATGAAAAAGAAGTAGAAGAGCAAAAATTACATGCACAATGCACATATGCTTTTTTTTTTTTCGGGCACAGGTTTTACGACATTTTGGTGTAGGTTGATTAGCTTATCACAGCCACATATGAAAAAGAAAAGAAAAATAGGAAGAAAAAGTAGAAGAGCAAAACGATGTAAGTGCACTTTTATGCATAAGTGCACTTATTTGGGTCACATCATTCAAATCTCCTCTCTACTTTTCTACACATCTTTTTTATAAAAAGTCAAAAAGTGTAGTTATTTAGAACATCCCAAACAAACCGTAACATGCACATCTGATTTGTCCTTTGGGTTGTTGACATGTTATGTGATGAATATTGACAACTGTAACTTACCATTACTCGTACTGAAGTTTTTGTCAATATTCATAGTAAGGATGTTAAAAGCTCATGATTAGGAATATTTCGTCAATTATACTCATTTCTGTTGAAAGCATTTGTTGAGTAGAGGGACATTGAGAATGTTTGAATTTTAGGTTGCTGGCCGTATGTTTGATCCTGAGTTGGTGGTGTACAATGCTGGCACTGATATTCTAGATGGAGATCCATTGGGCAGGTTGAAGGTAATTTCTAATATAATGCCCTTGCAATTTTTTATTTTTTTATTTTTGTGCCTTATGTTTTTTTAATAGACCATACAGGAGAACATGTCATTGTTTGTGCTAATACTTTGTATGCAACAAGTATGATCTTAGAATTTGCAATGGCATGTGCATTTGTAACTAAAGAGTCGTTGCTTGTTGAAATACAAATGAATGGAAAGTACAGCATTGCAATTATTGTAACATTTTGTTAGGAGAGTGATTGATCATACTGTATAGGCTTGCACACACAGATGCATCTATCAAGTAATGGAAGAGGAAGAAAAGAGGAAATAGGTCCCAAGATGGCTAGAACAAAGTGTGAGAATTTGAAAGGTGGAAATGTGTACTGTTTACATTTGTAAGAATTTAAGAGGGAAGTGACCAGGAGGAGGATTCTGGTTGCCTCCGGGTGCATTCCATTGATTATGATTGATGTAGCCAATCATGGCAATGCTGAAACTCTGAATAATTTATCACTGGAGCCCTAAGTGGATAGTTGGGTACTAGTTTTGGTGGCTTCTAGTCATTGCACTTTTTAATTGTAGTTGCTTGAGCTGTATATTATGAGAGTTCAGTTGGATACTGTTGCATTTTCTTTTGCCCAAACCAACCCTTATTGCACTTTTGAATTTCACACATCTCTTGAATTGAGTAAAAATCCCGAGTTCCTATGTGATTTTGAGGTTTCACAAAGTTTAAATTGGGGTTATCATGGAAAGGTTCACTTGGTGAGCAAAATGCAAGGAAAAATCTACTTTTTCCATGCTCTCTCTACTCTCTTCTTCTGATGAGCGAAAATTAGTGGTTTGAACCTTCATAGACCTGCACTACTGGTGGAAGCAATAGCAACTGAGTTACTTGCAAAGTTCATTTTTTGTTCCTCTTCTCTATGATCACTACAGTATCATCACTGCACCACCAAATTCGGATGGATTGGTGTGGCTCCTCTGTGCCTAGGACATCAGAGTATTCTTTCTCCTTGCCTCTTGTTAAGGTCTTCTGGCTTCATGGAAATTTGTATGCTTAACATGGTTGACCAGAGAACAAGATCTATCAAACTCGACTCTGTCTTAATATAAATCCAGGAACTTATAACCAAAGATGGAGTTTTTTTTTGTTCTAGGTGACGTTATATTGTAATTGAGTCTTTACTGTGTTTATACATGTCTGCGCAGATCAGTCCTGATGGGATAACTGCTAGAGATGAGAAGGTTTTCAGATTTGCCCATGAGAGGAACGTACCTCTTCTCATGCTCACTTCAGGTTCTGGAACTTCCAACTTTATAAATTACCTCTGCAAAATTCAATCTTCATTCTGTATCATTCTTTGAAACTCACAAGCAAAACCTGACATTTCTACATTTCAGGTGGTTATATGAAATCCAGTGCTAGAATAATAGCAGATTCCATAGTAAACCTTTCAAAGAAAGGCTTGATAGACACCTTGGGTTCCACAGGAAAAGTTTAAACTGCTACGTGATTTGTTATCATTACACTAGTGTTGTGAAAAACTTGAATTATTAGTTGATGATTGTACATAATGTTGATGTACTGGTGTGCAAGAAATGAGGTTTGTATATCCAAATGATCAATACAATATATATATATATATATATATTAGCATGTATATACTAGTTGATAGGTTTTGCAGCAAAGCTTTCACTGAAATGTAATTTTATAAAATGTGTTACTCTCCTCGGGAGCAGAACTAGTGGTGTTCTACCTAGTAAAAGCACTTCTATTTTTCTATTTTTCTTTTTTTGCATTAATTATTAATTTTGGAAAGTTCTAACATCACATTCACGTGTGACAGTGACATTTTTGTAATTAGAAATCATTTGGGTGTGTTATTTAAAAGTAAAAAAAGGCACTTCATTTTGTGAAAAAAATCAGCATTTTTTTGTGTGCTTGTATAAAGCATTATTTTAAGCAGAACTGTTGGTCTTACTTGCACTCGTTACAGCCTTTTCATTAACAATTTTACCATAAAGTTTGCGTGATTGTTCATATTAGCTCTCTCTTTGACATGATTATGATTTTTTTTTATTTTCTATTAACAATTTTTTAAAAAAACTTGCACAAAGTATATTATGCATTTTGTGACCCTTTACTCAATGTGTATTCTAGCAAAATTTTATGTTCTTCAAATTTATTTGTCTAGTCTTCAAAACTCTCAAAATGTAGGTAGCAAGAGAAAATAAGATAAAATGCCTATAGTGTAGTTTTATCTAGTTGAAATTCAATTTGGTGATGAGATTTTGTCAAATGCTTAAAATGCCTCTCAAGTTGGAGATGGTCTAAAAAAATGATTGTTTTGGCTAAACGAGAACTACGTCTATCCATATTTAAGATATAAAAAGAATCATATTACTCTTGATATGTTACTGTAATAATCAATTAGTGATATTAGAGACAATATAATTCACTGCATTTTTCATGCCTCATTCACAAACATTATGTTGGACTCAATGTATACAAGTCGAGTATGAAAATTGGAGTGAAATATGTAATGACTCTAGAGTTATTTGTTTTAAATTGGAGTAGGCAATGTTGTCTTCTTACATTTTTATGTTAGTGTCATTCATGTTCACACCCTAGACCATAGGTTAAGTGTCATTTTCTAAAGATTAGAGGTGTATGTGATTTTAAGCAAACCGCAAGGGTTAAAGAGTAATTAACCCAAAAAACATTTAGAAATGGGCAGAACGCATAAACACAAATGGCACATACTGTATAGGAGTCAACTGGAGCTGGTGGAGATAGTGTTTATATTCGACTCGTTTTGAATTTGACCATAAAACCACCTTTATAATGCTCAACCAGATAGAAGCTGCCTATCTAGGGAAGGTGTGGGAAATAAAAAAGGTCGTTCACATTTTTAATAGTTATTAAAAGGGTTGTAACTTACTAAGATTTTAAAAACAAAATGAAGAGATTGATTTGGTGGAAGAATTATTTTCTTATTAAATGTGATGTTTGAATTTGAGTTTCACCTATTCTCTATTGTTATCCATTTTAAAAAAAAATTAAACTAATAATAAATAAGATAACAAAAAAAATAATGTTAAGATAATCATATCTTTTTATTATATTAAATATAATGTAAAATAAAATAAAAATAAATGATCATTTTAATCTTATTTAAGAGAAAATCAAATTAAAAGTTGTGCATTTAAAATTGCATATAATAATAATAATAAGCAATTTGATATCACTTGCATTAAAGTCTTTTTTAATAATGAAGCATGGCGGAAACAAAGCAAGTAAGTAGAGAAATTCATCATAAAATACTTTTTTGGCCGCTTGAAATATCTAAAGAACATTTCTAATATTTTTATCAAATTATTGGTATAAGAGAGATTCAATTCATTCGTTAAATTTATATCAAATTTATTTTTTATAAAATAATTCATCAATAAGAGGTGAATCAAAATTTTCATTAAAATTTTAATTTTAATTTTTTACCTAAGTTTAATAGGGATAATTGGTCTAGGGTCCCTCTCCCACTTTTCGTAATGGAAGAGATCTACAAAATTATTTTTTGATGTCTAAGGTCCCTAAGCATATATCAGAGAAATTTGACTCTTTGTCTCTACTCTTCTCTCTCTCTCTCTATCTCTCTCTCTTCTCCTCTCACCCACTGTCTTCCAAACCCAAGGCAACCAGCAAACAACAATTATTTGTGCAATTAATTATCAATCTCGAGGAGATCGAGATCAATCTGGTTTGGTGGAGCTATTTGTTTTGAGTCTGATAGTGGTAGTGGTATGTAGATCGAAAAATGAAGGTGATAGAGAAGATCAGAGAGACAGAAGGAGGAGATAGAGTAGTGTTCTCGTTCGAGTTCTTTCATCCGAAGACCGAAGATGGAGTGGACAATCTGTTCGAGAGGATGGAGAGAATGGTGATTCATAACCCATCATTCTGCGACATCACATGGGGAGCTGGTGGATCCACTGCAGATCTCACTCTCGAGATATCCAACAGAATGCAGAACATGGTGTGTGTGGAGACCATGATGCATCTCACCTGTACCAATATGCCTTTGTTCTGTGGAGAGAATGCAAACTCGTGTCCTGTGGGAGTGCCCCGATTGCTTCGTCATCGCCGATCCTAATCTCATTGACAAGCCGGGCGTTGGATTTGAATCTCTGGGGATTTGATCGCGACGATTGAATTTCTCAAATTTCTCTGTATTCAACCCAAAGAAACTTGAATTTTCTCTGGATTCAACCCAGAGAAAATTCAAATTTCTCTAAGTTCTCTAGAGGCCCAAAGCTTGAGAGTTTGGTTTGATGAACGAGGCAAAAATATTGCTTCTCAATCCATCTCTAGAGACATGCCTGGAGGACCAAAGAATGAGATTTGTAAAACTGTGTCTCAGATCAAGGACGAAGGCTTGGGAAGAACAGATAAGCCAGACTGGGTTACAGTGAAGGCATCCATATCATTCATCAAGACAGATACGTTCTGCTACACAGCTTGCCCACTGATGATTGGAGATAGACAGTGTAATAAAAAAGTAACAAGGTCAGGAAATTGAAGATGACAATGTGACCGGTGCAATTAGGAATTCGAGGAATAGATACACAAATTTTCTCACCATAATTTTCTCAGAATTTCTTTAGTACTCAGAGAAATTTTAATTTTCTCTGGTTTGAATCCAGAGAATTTCTCTAGAGAGAAATTCAATTTTCTCTGGAGAGAATTTCTTTAGGACTGAAATTTCTATGGATTGATGTTGAGGGACTTTAGACATTATGAAAATATTTGATATCCTTTATATTATAAAATCATAATATCAGGGACCTTAAAAAAAATACCCCAGTTTAATAAAATTATTAAAAGATAACATTTGGAGATTAATTTTCACTTAAATAATAAATAAAAAAAAATCATCTTCAAAGTTAACTATATCAAATCAAATTTTTTTATCTAATGGCTAAGTTTGGAAACCTCCACTATTAATTAAAAAGTCAAGAAGTTATAAAAAACCTCAAAGAATTACATTTAAAAGTAAAAAATTATCTTTCTTTTCTATTTTTACACGTTTTTCCTTTATAAAAAATTTAAAATTATCCAAAATTTTAATTTACTTACCTTTTTTTTCTGAGAAAAGTTTACCAAAATAGCTTATTACCAAAATAATCATAGTTGACTAAATTTAATGAAATAAAGAATTGAGGAATGTTATTGATTGGTTCAAGACAGCATCACATGACGTTTTATATGTATTGTGATTACAGCAATGATAGGGACCCCTTTTGTGGAGGACCCCCACAACCCCCTTTGTGATCCACACCATTCATGATGTGGACCCCACACATGCATGAGTGGACCCCACACATCATGAATGATGTAGATTAATAAGGGGGTTGTGGGGGTCCTCTACAAAAAGGGGTCTAACTCATTTTTCTTGTGATTAATAGAGAAAATAAGATTTATAATAAATAATTAAAGAATATGAAAAGACATAAAATTTATGATTTTCAGAACTAATTAATAATTTTTGAAATATTAATTAATCAGTAAATAAATAATAATAATAATAACAAAAATATATATATATATATATAAATTGGTATCTGCTGATCATGTGAATGACGGCCGATTAACCAACTCCACTCTCTCTCTCTCTCTCTCTCTCCGTAGGTACCATTTCTCTAGTCTCTGCAGCGACACCCCTCAGTACAACGACAAAAGCTTCACTACTTTCAACTCTCTACTCGCTTATCCTGCGCCGTCCCCCTTCTAGCAATGAGGTGGAGATCCTCCTCCTCCTCCCACCTCCGTCTCTCTCTCCTCTCCATCTTCTTCTTTCTCTCTCTAACTTGGCTTTCTTCGCCCTTACTCGCTATTGCCGTAGCGGTCTCCGATCAGTTCGATGGTCCCAATACCACTGAATCCAGTAATGTGTCTCGTTCTAGGCCCAGAGAGGACAGCTTCGCCGGCATAATTGATCGAGCTCTCGAGAAAGAGTTCACCGAAAGTGATCAGACCGAAGGTTCGTCGATCCGAGCTTTTTACTTCTTCTGAGCATTGTATTAGGGTTTATGCTATTCTTTTGTTTGGTTGTTGAGAAAATCCTGACTGTGGAATGTAATTTTAAGTTCTTGCAACGTACATTGTTTTCGCGCTGAAAAAATATTTAGTTGAATTGCATTAAAATTACGTTGATAATCTTTTCTTTCTGGTAATTAGCAGTGAATTTGAACTTTATTATTGCTTTTCCGAAATGGTGATCTATAAAATACGGAACTTAATATAGTTTTTTTTCCTGGGCCTTTTGGGGAAATTAATAGTTTTTAGCATTTTTTGCTGGGTTGTAATTTCTTCTAATTCAAGCTCTGGCAACAATGGTACCCAATTTTTTGGACATGACTATGTTATCTGAGGAACTTATATTTGTCATCTAGTTTTTAGATCGCATGTTTGTACTTATGAAGGTTGTAGGCATTAATTCGTGTCCCTAATATTTTGGAGATCTGTATTAATTTGGCAGCAAATGATGCGGGCAGCTTCAACAATAGTGTTGCCGAACAACAGGTGGGTGTTACCATGGTTTTGAGCTTCTTGAGTACAATATTTCCAAAACTGTGGTGCGCACATTGTTAGGGGGATGAATGTACTGCAATAGTATATTCTATTTCATATATGTTAATTGTTTTATCTGTCAGCATTTGATCGCCGACAAGAACTTAAAACTTCAATTAGAATTACTTAGGTGTAATGCATTTTGTAAACTCTTGTTTGAATCCATCGTCTAACAATGATATACACTCACAATGAGAAAGTGTATTTAACTCATACTACGACAGTGCATTCTCCCTTCTACGACAGTGCCTTATGTTAAATCTTGTGGTTTTCTCCCTTTGGTTTCATTGCGAACCAATCTCTGGCTTGAAGCTTTTGCTGAATGGATCTTCTTTTCATGTTTTTTGTTCATCAGGCAGTTTTGGAAACTGTAGCTAGAGTTAAGTCCAAGAAAAACGACACGAAGGAGGAAAAGTATATATACTTCTATCATAAGAATCTGTAGATATCTATTCATGGTTTATGTTTACTTTATTTAGGGTAACAAACAAGCATTCTCTTTAGTCATAAGTTCTGGTTCGCTGTGAAAAAGTGATGCTTTGCTGACTTAATTGAGGCATTTATTGTAGGCCATTTCAGCTTCATCATGTTTTCAATTTGGATAATGACCACAGAGCAGAAGATACCCCTACATTGATAGATCGAAAGGTTAAATTGGATCGTTGGACACCTACCTACTCGGTATATATCATTATATTTTTCAGAGCATAACGGTTGTGCTGTGTTTTCAGGATAATGTCTTTATCATATCTAATTTCAAATCAAAATATCCAGTGCTCCAGTTAGACTTGAGGTGACTTGCTAATTTGACATAATTTATGTTGAAAATGAGTTGCAATAGGCAACTTTATGCTGATTCAACTCATTGACTCATTGTTCTTGTAGATTGATATCAGATCTGGTGGTTGTCATTGTGTCTGCAACTTGTGGTGGCATCGCATTTGCTTGTGCTGGACAACCGGTCTGAAATTTCTCACTGTAGTCAGAATCTATTCCATGTTTTGCATACTGATTCTCTAGAACTTCTTTTTTATCCTTTTTATTTTTCCTCTTAAACTCCACAGGTTATTACCGGATACCTGCTAGCAGGATCTGCTGTTGGGCCAGGAGGGTTAAGCTTTGTGAGTGAAATGGTGCAAGTATGTTGCTTTTCTCCCTTGCAGAGATGTATACTATTCTCTATTTGATTGTTTTCTTCCCAAATCTTCCGTATGATTGCTGTCTCTTGTACGCTGTGCCTAAGTATAGTATTTTGGGTATGTGACCTTCATGTATGACATTTTCTGTGATGATACTTATCAAACAGCCTATTATTTCAATTTGCATTTTAATTTTTTTTATTTCTTTTTTTAATAATAATAATTTAGAGTTACCTAAAAATATTTAATATTCAGGTGATTTGTGTTTTGAATGCAAGTTCCAAAACATGCATGCTTTAATGGCAATTCACTATATAGTATATATACAGCTATCCAATTTTTTTTTGCTACATATGAACTCAGTATCTTTTCATGAATTTATAATGGAATGCAATTTAAATAATTAATAAGATAAGAGTTTGACTTACCTGAAAAAGAAGTTATTTTGCAGATGTTGAATGGGCGCACATCGAACACTTAAGATACACTTGGTCCTGTCTTTTTACGTGATTAATTTCAATAAAAAAAAATTTAAAAATGAATTGCAAACTTGTGCATTTTAACAATATTGTTTTTCATTAATCATTTAATTTTAAAAGATTCACTGTCATATCTAGGAATATTTCAGCGCCTTAAAACTATGTTGGATCTATATAACCTATCCTACTACAATTTAAATTGTGCCCCCTACCACATTCCCATTTCCATTCCACACCTGTAATAATTTGTGTTTGGCCATATAATTTTACATGGTGCTTCATTTTCCTCGTGTTTTCTCTATGTAGGTTGAGACGGTGGCTCAATTTGGTGTAATTTTTCTTCTTTTTGCGTTGGGGTTGGAGTTTTCCACAACAAAGGTCAGCTGCCTAATCATTTCTCATAATTTTCATTGAATAATATCTAGTGTTAAATTATTTTAAATTTTGAATCTTAGTTCACCCTTTCATATTTTAGCTTCGAGTTGTTCGCGCGGTTGCTATTCTGGGAGGCTTGCTCCAAATTTTCTTATTCATGTGCTTGTGTGGAGTTATAGCCTCAGTAAGTCTTCTAATCTAAAAGAACACCTTTAATGCCAAGTTTGTTTTCATCGCTGCCCATGTTCTCTGTACATGTAAAGGCTACCTCTTGGTAACCCAAAAATTTAAATGCCAAGTTTGTTGTGGTCGTTCCAAAAATTCTCTTGACATGTGAAGGCTAACTCTTGGTATCGTGCAAGGTTTCACATTGGAATATATATTTGAGTAGATCGGGAACAAGTTGTGGAAGTTAATTAGCACAAAATATATAAAATCTGAGTATGAAAAGAACAATTTTCTTTTTCTTTTTACAAGTACCAATAGAACAATATGAGTTATGATTAAGAACCTTTGCATTATACTGAGTCTGACTGCTTTAATTGTCATGTTAATTTTTTGGGATTTTGCATTTGACCCCTTTTGAGCAATCAGTTCATATCGACTATCTTGGAGCAGTGGTAATATCATATATCTTGCGATATTACTTCAATAGCAGTTGATGGATATGATTGCAATGGTACCATATACTTTGATATGGCACTAACAACATGATGGCATATTAAAATTGTGAGACAGGAAACACTTTTATTCTGCTACAATCTTTTGTATTTTTTGTTAGTCTAAGAGCTTTATCAATTCATTCATGAGGTGGTAGTGCATGTATAATGCAGATTTTTAGAGGTAATTATTTGATGCTAACCTTAGCAAGTTCTGTATTTGCTTTGTTAAAGTATATCATACGAGCTTTCTGGTTTATAATGCTGCAGTTCTGATCTTAGCATCTGGATGCTATTTGCAGTTATGTGGTGGTAAACTGTCAGAGGGGGTATTTGTTGGTACATTTCTGTCAATGTCCTCGACAGCAGTGGTAACTCTTTATGAAGATCTGTCACTAGGGTGGCATCCACTTTTAACTTTGTATGTTTTATTGTGAAATGCTCGTGGCTGATATTTCAATGCATGGGTTATAGGTGTTGAAGTTTTTGATGGAGAAAAACAGTACCAATGCCCTTCACGGACAAGTTACCATTGGCACCCTTATTTTGCAGGTATGATCTTTTTTCATTTTCCTTTGTACACATTCCTTCATTATATCTTATTCTCCACCATAGGAACTTACATTAAAGATGTATGAGCTCAGAATGACTCGCTCAACCTCCTATCACTAATGCCAGTAGTGTTCCTCTTGTTGCCTGTAGTGTTTGTTTAAAAGTGCTGTGTCTTGCTGGTTTTTAAACCACTGGCATGAAATTGCAATTCATTTTATTTCTAATAAGATCTAGAGAGTCAGGATCCAAGTTATTTTTGCCTAGCAGGATTGTGCTGTGGGTTTGCTGTTTGCCTTGCTTCCAGTTCTGGGTGGAACTTCGGGTGTTCTACAAGGAATAATATCCATGACAAAATCGTAAGTTGATAAATTGTGAGATCGTTTTTTGTATCACTGTTTTTTAATTCTTAACTTCCATGCACCTAAATAGTGTTGTTGACATTTTGATGACATCTATTTGTCTTCGCCATTTGTGTTCTAAAGGGCATGTGAAGCTTCCATTGAGCAGAGACTTAAGGATTAGTAATGACTTTGTCTTTGAGATGTAAATCTTCAAAGGCCTCGACATTAAGTTTGAGGCTTGTAGAAGCATATTTCTCTCTCCCATTTCTTCCTTTGCAAAGACATGTTTGAATTACTTTTGCAATTCTAACAAGAACTTTTTAATGGTTTTCCATATCAATATGGATGAGTCATTTGAGGATGGGAAATTAGGTAAGCTGTCATGAGTACTTCTAAAATCCCTCAAGCTTGCCCCTTTATAGTAGGCTCCATGCTCAAGAAAGTTGTGTCTTTTTCTTTTTTCTATTTTTTTTTTAATAATCTTATCGTATCTTTATTTATATTTTTTAATTTAGCAGTGGTCACTAATTGAAATATACCTTATGTCATATTCATGGTCTTGTAGATTTTTAATATTGTTTAATTATTTTTAGTATGTCATATTGTAGATTCAGGAGCCTATGGATGTTTACTTAAAATAGATATCTGTAGTGGTTACTTTTTTGTGTTTAGATTTTTAATATAACTTGAAAGTTGTACTAGTTTTTTCATTACTGCAATTTAGCAATGGGCATTTGATTTAGTTGATGTATATATCAATTGGAAAGATTTACATGTATGCTGAGTTAACTTACTCTCTTAGTTGACAAGGCAAATAATTCATGTGTATATATATTTATTATCTGTGACACATATGTTCTTTCAGATTGTATGTGTAATTTATTATCCTATCACACATGCATCTTACTTCACTTAGGCTTGGGTTTTATGTTGCACCTTGTGCTTAAGCTTTGGGAGACCTTACCACTTTAGTGAACTTGAAGCCCTTAACTTTTATTCGTTCAATATACTTGATTTTGGTCACCACCATGAAAGATGAGATACAAGATCTTCACTAAGTTTGTCTGGTTTGACAAAGCTACTATATCACAAATTTCTAGTGCCATAAGTTAGCTTTAGGAGTTGCAGATTCCAGCCAAACTTTCCACGAGAAATTTAAATAATAAAAAAAAAGAGGCAAAATTGATCCACTATGTTGATGTCATTGCAAGTTCCAGTGGTTGTGAGACCTGTGAACTGAAGATGGGATGCAATTACCTATAAGATGAGTATGTAGTGGGCAATTTTGGAAGGTTGAAGAAGTTTACAAATATACCTATGGCATCTCACAAAATGTGGTTGTGTTGGTGGTGTTCATGCAACTGCAAAATTAGCCGTTTATTTCTTTCACAAATTTCAACTGAAAGCAAGGTGAATGAAAACATCACCTTATTCCTTATGAATATGATATTAGTTGATACAGTGAATAATTTGCTGAAAGAAAATTGTGTTTCAATTCACTTCTATTGGTTTGAGTTGTAGGACAGTTATTGATGTCATATAATTATCAAAGTATCTTGTGTTGCAGCATACTAATTCTTCTATTAATCAGGTTGGTGGTGTTGATTTTGTTTCTGGCTGTTTTGTCAATATTATCCCGTACTTGTGTACCGTGGTTCCTTAAACTTATGATAAGCCTATCATCACAGGTATGCATATTCTGTAGTCAACAGATCTCTCTTTCTCTCTCTCTCTCTCTCTCTCTCTCTCTCTGTGTGTGCACGTGCAAGATCACTAATTGATTTACTTTGATTTGTTTGTTACCCTTGCAGACCAATGAACTCTATCAATTGGCAGCAGTTGCATTCTGCCTACTTGTAGCTTGGGTTTGTTTTTCTCCTAATCTCTCTAGATCTTTGCATCCATATTGTTATGCTTACATATCATACCAACTTATTTGCAAACTATCATGATGGAACTCTTGTTTTGGCTTAATAGTTTTCTACCGATTTTTATTTTTTCACATCTGTATGTAAAAAATTTGCATGTATGAATTCCTTCTGAATGCATATCAAGCATCTCTGTTTTAATTGTTTGTGTAATTTCAGTGTAGTGATAAGCTTGGTCTAAGCTTAGAGCTGGGTTCCTTTGCTGCTGGAGTGATGATATCAACAACTGATCTTGCTCAGCATACACTTGAACAAGTACGTCACTTTCTTTGCTTATTTGTCATCAACTATGTACAGATGTGTGACTTTTTTAGTGATATATTATACTTTCTGGTTTGAAATAAATATCTGCAAATTTTTTTTTTTTTTTTTTTAAAATTCAGAACATTTACATATAGTATGTAAAAAAATATATTAGTCTGCATTCAAGGGTGGTGGGAAGAATGGACTTGCTATGTATCAAACCCAACCTTTGGCATTGTTTGCGTGAATTGGCTGCCCTCAGATTATACTCTGCAGTCCAAGCATTTACCATTCCACAAAGCAATTTTCATATATGTGGTATTTACGTATGTGTATACAAACAGTGTAAAAGCATACATACCTGTATACAAGCAGTGTAAAAGCATACATGAATGAAATGGTAGGTCTATCCCAGAACTTCCGGAATTCATGTCAAACTGAATATAGATTGAGCTGTGATCACTGTAGCACATATACAAAGAATGAGCATGAGGTACATATATTACTCAGCAATGTGGTACGGTAGGGGTTGGCATATAATGCTCAGTTAAAAGATAGAATGTGATAGATTTAATTGATAATTATAGGTCATCCTTCTCTTTACGAATTGGAACATACTTTCACTCTTGGTAGCATGTCTGGTTTGAATTGATATGATTTGTTAATTGAGAATGGGAGATTGCTGGTGTTAGTGTTTCATACTAGGAAGCTTTTCGGGTAGTTCAAGAGGTGAGAATTAGCTATTTCTTGAGGACAAGAAGTAGAGCTGCTGATGCTACTCTGCTTTTCTGGGTTGAACTATTGGCTGTTTTATGTGTTTGGTTGTTCAGTTTTCTGTCGAAATTATTAGAGCAACTGATGACTGTAGTGCAGTTTCCTTGAGTTGGTGCCGTCTCTCTCTCTCTCTCTCTCTCTAAATGTTATTGCTCATTTCTTATGTAGATCTATGTCAATATGTATATGCGTGGGAAAAATATGTTCCTCTGTAACCCCTGAATGGAATTTTGTTGTTTACACAGGTTGAACCCATTCGTAATTTCTTTGCTGCACTTTTTCTTGCTAGCATTGGGATGCTGATACATGTTCACTTCCTCTGGAACCACGTGGATATCTTACTAGCATCAGTTTTATTAGTGATCATTGTGAAAACAATTGTTATTACCATAGTTGTCAAGGGGTTCAGCTACAACTACAAGACTTCACTTCTTGTAAAATATTATTTAGCAATTATGTTTCTTTATTTTATTTTTTTGGAATTTAATTCCCATATATTTTCACTTCTGACGTACCTTGGTTTCTTTGACTTGTGTAGGTTGGAATGTCTTTGGCACAGATTGGGGAATTTGCTTTTGTTCTTCTCAGTCGTGCTTCTAACCTTCATCTAGTTGAGGTGAGTGCTATAATTGCAGTTTCTCCTGATAATGTTTTCTATCCTGCTTATGCATAACCAAAAAAAGGATATGGAATTCCCATATTTTCCCTTACGGTCTGAGATCATGTTTGAAAAGTTGTATGGCTTCCCACCCTGCAAAGAAAAGGTGGTAAATATATCTTCGATACTGTTCCTAAGTTTATGAAAGTCTCAAGTCTAGAAGCTTTTATTGATCTGGAACTTTCCTTTTCCAGGGGAAACTTTACCTGCTTCTTCTTGGGACAACAGCTCTTAGTCTGGTATGGAAATTCATTTTGGTTATTTTTTAAGTGGTGCATGTATAATTCCTGGAGTGCGTGCAGTGTGATGGTCTTTTTCTTTGCCTAAATGCATTGTACTCACTGTCCTTCTGGAGGATATTTTATTGTGTAATGTTGTTATTAATTGTTAAAGTGATAAAGAGCATATAATATACACACACACGCACACATATATATTATCAACAACCTACATTCCTGAAAGACAAGAATCCATCACCTGAACAAACCTCCCTTCTCTGTTCTGACATTTCAAAAAAAGATTCTCCCTTTCAGTGCCTTCTTCCTCAACTTACTGCTTAATCGCTTAGCTTCCAAAACAAGTAAAAGAGAGAGATGGTAGAAAGCCTCCCCCCACTTTCCACCACCACACAACAATTCCCATCGCCTGCATCAACAAACTCAGAAGTCTTTCAACCCTGTTGAAGGAATTTCTTCATCTCCCTTTTAATACCCTTCGATTTTTGTTTAATGTATTTGCATTGGTTTTTTGGTCTCAATGCACCATATTCATTGCTCATAAAAGGAAAGTTCTACATTTAGTCTGTTAATCATTTTATGTGGATTGTTATTTTATTTATTTTATCCACAAAATTCTTCTTCATTGTATTTAGATTCAGATTTTTTGATTTAGACATGATTGTTCCCACAAAAAAAAAAAAAAAAAAAAAAATGCATAATGTTTAATTACTTTTTCAAGAAGCAAAGTATCAATATAAATTCCGAGTTGCAATAAATAGACTTGAGGGATCAAAGTCACCAAGGATCAGGAAGCCTAATGTAATATGTCAATCCTGGTGTCTGGACTAGCCAAAAAATTTCAATATGGTGATGAATCAGATGATTGTCTTTGTTGCATCAATCTTTTGGCAGTTAGATCATTTTAAATTTCTTAGTGCAGGTTACTACTCCATTGCTTTTCAAGCTAATACCTGCTGTGGTACATCTTGGTGTCCTACTACGCTGGTTCTCCCCTGACAGTCCGAGTGAGGTAATCATCTACGTTGATATATATATATACCTCCACTTTTAGTATTTGACTGTTGCTGGTGAGAAGGGTTTTGATTCTATGTAGATTTGCCATAATCCTTGCTCTCTTCATTGAAATTGAAATGCTTCTTGAACATGTTCTTGACCTCCAGATTGGATTCAAAGGAGAAAATCTCCGCTCAGAGAGTGCTAAGCAGCGGATTGCCTTAATTACGAAGGATCTAATTCATGAAGGCTAAATGGATATATAATTTTGCAGTTTTGCCCAATATTTATGTTATGCTCTGCCCAAGTTTCTTATGGTGTGAAAGAGCTCAAATGTCCCCTTTTTGTCATACAAAGTGTTCCCGGGTATTGTTTCTGTTACACATCTCTGACCCAAATAGAGCCGAGAAAGCAACTCGAGCCTCAGAAATGTTGGAGAACAGGATAGTCGCAATCTAACTTCAGAAACTACTAACAGATTGAAGCTTCACCTTCTAGTGAGATAATCGTGATATTCAACTGTGTGACCTTTCTTTCTTTTTTTAACTTTTTCTTTTTCAAATGTAAAATAATTTCAACTTGTAATGTAATTCTGATTGGTAGATGTAATTGTCGCTGTTCTTATTCAATGCATTTGTTCAAATTGTAGAAATCGGTTTATCAATTCATGTCACTCATTTGAAAATTTGGTGTATGAATTATTTTTTTATGAAGTAAAGTCATTTAATTCATAATGCTGTCTATTATCCGAGTAGGGTGCCATTTTCTTCCTAAAACATTGGTCTTAAAATTTCTATGAGAATATGTGTGGTTTCAGACATCCCAAGAACTTTAAATCTTAGGGAATTAAGTAATTTTATTACAATAAAAAGTTATATACTATTTGACTATCACATAGGTGATAACAATTGATGACAACAACAAAATTGACTACATTATAATTTGATTGACTTCCGGTTTGCAATCAAAGAGAGAAAAGGGTCTGTTTGGTTTAATTTTAAAACAATAATTAGAGTGTAGAATTGTGTTTTGAGTTTTGAGTTTTTGAATTATAATTTGAAAAGAGAAAATTTGTTTGGTTATGAGTTTTGAAAATAGTTTTGGGATGATTTGTAATTTATTTTTATTTTTTTTGATTGATTAACGTATAGAATGTGAGAGGAAAGAAGAGAGATGAGAGAGAAAAAGTAATTGATTGATTGATTAATAATAAATAAATAAATAAATACGAGAAGAGAGGAGTTTTAAAAGTAATTTTGAGTTGTGTTTTAAAAATGTTAGGTTAATATATTATATTTAAATCATAATTTAAAAAAGAGAGTTAAATTTTGAAAACAAAATCAAACGCTACCTTAGATATAATTAGGTCTGAGTTTACTTACCTAATTCAGTATTTGGTGTAATAGAAGACTTTTGGTTGTTTACTTCTTGTTTGATTGGTTCTAGCTTCTAGCTTAATTCAAGAGCAAAGTGTTGTGTTATGCTGTCTTTTTTGTCATTAGTGAATCATGATGTTGTATCATTGCAAAAACAATTAATGTAGACAAAGCTGGAAAAAGGATGGTTGAAAATCAATTGGCTACTTTGGAATATTGAACAATCATACTGGATACATTGTAGGATTTTTATTTTTTATTTGGGAGGATTACTTGTCTTTTAATATTTTTGTTTTTGAATGAAAAATTTAACCGTTATTTATTCATAAAAGTTTTCTTTTGAACTAATTAGTTCTTTTTGTTCTAGAAAGTTATATTTATTTAATTTGGTGTCATTTGAGTTTAAATTAATGTTTTTTTATGATTCATTTTTTTAGTTTTTTGATTCGTTTTTGAGATAAGAATGAAAAGGTGAGATGTGAAGTATTCTCTCTAGAGGGATTGGTGGTTGAAGTATTGGTTGTTAAGCGTGAAAATTTACATTTTCTATTAGTGTGATTTTTTGGTGTAACATTAGAGTGCTACGTGTAGAAAAAAAATATATATACTAAGGAGTTTTTGTGTGTTACATTGATTAGGGTGTTACGTTTGAAAAAATACACTAAAAAAGTTTTTTGAAATGTTACGTTGTTACGTTTGAGAAAAATATACTAAGAAATTTTTTAATATGTTAGATTAAAGTATTACGTTTGAGAACAATACACTGAAGAGTTTTTAAAAAATGTTACGTTGTTATGTTTTGAAAAAACTACATTAAAGAGTTTTTTAGAGTATTACATTTTGAAAAGTACATTAAGGAGTTTTTTCGTATATTATATTGGAATGTTACATTTTTTTTAGTGTTATTATGTTCAGAAAAAGTATACTAATGAGTTTTTTTTGAAGTGTCATGTTTAGTAATTTCAACATTGGCCCTGTTTGGTAGAGCTGTGGGAAAGTGCTTGTAACTTATGCCTTAACAGCTTATAACTATGAGCATAAGCTGATTTCTGACTTATCAATTAAGCATCTCTTGCCCCACTCAAAGAATAAGCTGATTTCTGACTTACAAAAAGTTATAAGCTGTATTGTTAAGCTAAACCAAACACATCAAAATGGCTTAAATTAAGCTGAAAGCTGAAATAAGCAGCTTTTAAGCTGCACCAAACAAGCACATTATGAGAAAATCACATTTATCCCTCAACACATAATACGCGTTTATACTTGGTCCTTTATGTGATTTACAATTTACACTAGAATGAGACAATTGAATCCATAAGAAAAAATAGAGAATTAAACCGTTCATAATATCACTATTTGAGATTTATTTATGTTTTATTTTTTGAATCGGTGTGAGTATATAATTAGGAAAAAAAAAATTGCTTAAATGAAATATGAACCGCAATATGATGTTGCCAATTGGAATCTGAATTACACTGAGCTTTAGTCTGTTTTCATTGATCTTCTTTTCTAAATTTTTGCTATTTATGTACATTTAACAGTAGATAAGCATATATAACAACTATTTAGTATAATAGATAAATATGAGCTTGATGTGTTCAATTTACTGTTGCCTTTGGTTCAAATATATTTTTTTACTGTTGCCTGTTGTGGGGTTGATAATCTGAAGTTCTCCATTGTCTACAGAAGTTTAAAGGTGGACCATTTTGTAAAATCTTGGTCATTCATATATATATATATATATATTTGTTTTAATTTATGTGTTAGTTGCAGAACTATTTTTAAATAAGGAGTGTTTTGAAAAAATAGTTAAAAATTGGTTTTTAATTTTTAATCAAGCTTTTTGGTTTGTTTAGAAAGTGATTTAAAAAGTTAGTGTACGAGTACGAAATAATTCTTCTCGTATAATCCTGTTGATCAAGTCTGCGCTCCTCCAAACGTCGTCGCTTTACTCCCTGAAAACACAAACGTGAGCTAGTCGGCGGGTGTGTGCCGAATACCTCTTCGATGCCTAAGTCAGCAAAATAGACAAATAGACAAAAACTCTGTGCATTCAATAATCAAAGTTGTGTGTTACCGTTACATAGGTTATGTTATGAGCTTTTTATAGGTTTCGTGTGGCACAATCTTAGTAGGACTCTTACTCCTCCATGTAAAGGCCTCTTAAGAATCATACTCCTGAATGATAATGTTTATCCTTCAACACCTCCCTCACTGCTTAAACCAAGTAAGATTGTTTTGCTTCGGTTGGATGAAGATATGACCAAGCTATCACTGGCACTTTGTGATACTTAATCCCACGCCTTCACATGCAACTCATAACTCGGCTCTTGTTCACTTGTACCTCGGTTGCCTATTGAGACCGAGCTAACTTCCAGCGGGCTTCGACCGTGCTTAATCAAAGCGAGGTTCACCATGAGAAGCCATCATGCCTCGGCTCCGAATGCTATGGTCGAGCCAATTATCTCTACTCCGACTGTGGTGACTATAATCACACTTGGACCGAGCTAACACTTGACCGCGGTCCACTTGCTAAGCTCTTTTCACCACGGCCCAAAGAACGGCCCATTTACCATGCTTTGGTCTAGCTCAACCCTAGTGCAAATAAAAACTTCCCTCTCAATTGCCCCTTAATTCCATCTGCGCAGCATGATTGGGATTACCTATTACCAGGCGAGCTAAAACTTTTAGCCTTTCAACCGAGCTAAATTGACACCGGGCTACTAATCTGTCCGGTCAAAACGTCTTTTCAGTCATTGTAACTGAATCGCTTTTTATTCTCTTGGACACGTGGCTAGCTTCTATTGGTCAAATACAGCTGCCACGCCGTCTTCGTACTTCGCGAAATTTGAACAGTCCCGCCCAATTTCTCATTCTTCACAAAAAACCCTACTCTTCAAACCAACCATACCACTATTCATCATCTTCTCTTTCTACCTTCTGAGCCTCCATTTTTCCTCAACATTATTCCTGCAAAGCTCGTGTTTTGCTGCTGATATCGTTACCATCTTCAGTTCTTTCATCTTGAACTGGTATGTAGCTCAAATCTATTTCCCTTCCATTGATTTCGCACTTGTTTTTGTAATACATAGCATAATATGTATGTTTCTCAAAACACTTTCAAATGGTTTTCTCTGTAATGAGTAAGAACTTTTTGAATAGCAATCACACCTACTGGATTTGCGAACAAACTGAAATAGGACGTTTTAGATCCAAAATCACACTCCAACCGAACTAGGATCTTGTTTGTATTAAGTGCAAGCCTAGCCAGATTGAATAACTCTTTTAACAATCGACCTAAAACTTCACGCCGTACATGTAATTTCAATAGGTCTAAGTACCTTATGTTTCATTTAGCCGAGATAGTGAACCGTATTAGGTTTGCGCAATACCGCGCTAGAAAGCCTCTACCACCGACTGAGCTATAACTTGGGGCTAAACCAGCTCCCTAACTTTGTCAAAACCGAACTAAAAATGCTGCACCATAAGCTTCAACCGGGCTACGAACTTCTCATTTACTTAACCGGGCTAAAGTCCCTCGCTCAAACCGAGCTAAGAATGGATAGTGTCCAACGTAGTCGAGCTAGGACAACATTTATTTTACCTTTGTTGCTTTTAGCACGGTCCAACGATCTGTGCTTAACACTTTTTCCTTTCACTTTGCAGATTGACTAAGTTGGCCAGGCACACCTTTGCACGCTCAATTGAGATACTGAAGTTCATCTGAACACCGAGCTAAATTATACATAATTTAACTCGTCATGGGGAAGTATAGATTCTTAGTAAACTCTCCAAGCGTTATGGCTGAGTTCCGAGGGGACTACAACATCCCTGATGATGTTCACCTTAGTTTAGCCTAACTAGACACCACTCCCTGGGGTAAACCTGGCTTCGTTCCCTTCACCCTTCTTTCTATTGTAGAAACCGAACTCCAATTCCCTGTACAACCTCTTCTATGTGAATTCCTTAGACAAACAAATCTTTGCCCAACCCAACTTTCCACAAATTCATACAGAATAATAAATGGCATCACTGAGCTAAACCGCCGGCTTGGCCTTAATCTCGGTTTAGCCGAGCTATTTCACTAGCATTCACTCGGCAAGAACAAAGATGGCTGGGTCTATTATTTAAGAATAAGAAGACACCAACAGCGAGTTACTGTAAACTATTAGTTCGGTGGCCTTCATGAAGAGTGCTGATTTTAGGTCTGCTAAGAGCGCTTCATACTCCGCCTCGTTGTTTAATGCTGGGAAGCCAAGGTTGACTGCTTGTTACACCACTAAGCCATCTGGTGAGATGAGGACTTGATTTCAAATAACTAGTTTTATATAGTTTTTTACATCCATCACAATAAA